TGTCACTAATTAAAGTCTCGGTCCATGTGGTTTCAGTATTTCATTAGTTTCCTGTTCTTACTCTTACATTTTTTAGGCTGCTTGGTTTTCGTTTGGAGCTTTACAACGCCTACTGGTCAACAGCCCTGATTGGTCTGTGCATAATGGTCATTGTCCTGGGACTGACAGCTCTGTGCTCATCCAATTATGACTTCTTTCAAGATGAAGCTGAGCATGCCCAGTACGTTGATGACAACTATCAAGCTAGGTGACTAACAATGGAGGATGCAGCCACAGCTGTTTGGCACCTCATGTATCGTCACTTCAACAGATGCTGCTCTTTTTTCTGTGCAATGATGGTAGCACTTGCTGTGTATGTTGCTGCAGTAGTATATTATCTCATGGTGATGTATGATCGTATGTTACCACATTAAGTTGACAAGGGGTTTGAACGGAAACTATAGGGAAGGCATTTCAACTTCATGAGTGGGCTTACGGAAGCACAAAACATGTAAAGGGGACCAATAAGTAGTACCATCACATTAGCAGAGTTTCCCAGGTGGTTTTCCATTTGAGCCATGGCTTTCGCACTCCACAACCTGTTCTTAAAATAATCAGATAAGAGATAAGTATCAAGTTTTGATTGAAATAATGGGAGACTTACAAATGCCCGTAAGTGAGTTATGTAAGGAATTCCAAACTTAGAGACTTCATGATGAATTGTCTTTTGAAAAGTGGTTGCTCTTGCAAACAAACAGTAATATTCTCTACACTGTCAGGTAAAATAGTGGTGAATAGTCTCATGTCTACAAAACATTTGTTTGATAGAATTTGGAGTGAACTATTAACCACTTCCTGCTGGGTGGGGTTAGCAGCATGCATCACCTGCTGCCGGGTGCTTTTGTCAGTTTGTTCCCATTTTCAAAATTCTTCAAAAATTCATATCTTCATTTAATGGACGTGTACACCCAAATGAATGACTGTCTTGTGGCGACTCTAGTCTGACAGGTAACCTCCATTGACGCGTAAGTATTGCAGCCACACCTGCCACCCAGTAAAGAGCCCCCATTGTGTAGTGTCGCGTGATTTTCGTCTTTGCTGTGCTGGATGGCGGTGTTTGCTATGCAGAGCGATTGACGGTCAATTAGCGTGTGGGCCGTGAGGGTGAACCAGGCCATTCATCAGCCACACCGGTGTAATGCGTGCTGCACGGCGGTATCGTCTGTACAAATGCGGCCAGATTCCATGAGCGCGCAGCTGTATTGCATAGCTCATGGCTGCAATGCTGGAGCACTTTTGTCGCCTGCTGATAATCTACTTGCGCTGGCAGCGGCAAGCAATGGCACTGTTTCAAAACAATGATGGATTACCCGCGCCAATGTCAGCACTCTGCGCTGACAGCCTATGAACCTTCATTGGCAAGTTCTAGCAGCTTAGTCTTTTGTTAAAGAAAGTTCCACCCTGTCCATGAAACACCGCTCCGTGTCTCCGGTACCGGGCACTCCGGCGGCAAGTGGTTAATGGATGTCATAAGTGTTGCTGCTTGATTAAGACAGGGATTGGTTCGATTAGCATTGAAAACAATTTACAAATTGCCTTCAGGGACATCGTAGCTTCATTGGTTATCGCTAGTCAGGCCAGAATGATGCAGCATATCAGGGAACTTGACTGCCTTACATACGAACAAGAAAACAGATATTGTTGACAAATGTAAATAGCAACTTTCACATCCTTTGTATGTGGATTAAGGTGGGGATGTTGCTCCACACACACGTTTCTTCCTGTCTTTCTGCCCATGAAATCTTGGTGCAGTTCCAGCTGTTGATGCACAAATAGTAAAATCAATGATGTGACTGCCATCGTCAAGGGAAATGTCACTGTCTAAGTCAAAAAGAAAAATAACCTTCCCCATCACTGTTTCAACTTATCACACTTTAATCTGTATTTCAAATAGTTGTACAACTTTTTCACTTTCACAATCCTTCGTATTCAATTTTGACTAAAATGAGGTTATATTTACATAAAATTATGATATGAAAGTGCGATCAACTTCGCTAATCATCCAACCAGTGAATTAATTATGGAGAGTAAGTACTCAAATGTCAACTTTATTTCATAGATTGAACATGGATATCTCTACAGTTTGTCATTGAGCCCAATCTGAACAGAGACCAAAGGATTTACCTCTAGGTACTTGTCTACTTCTAAAATTGGAAACAAAAATACTCCAATTTTAAGTGTAATTGACATTAAGGGTGTTGATTCTGTTTTGGATTTCACATCTTTGGCAATTGTAGGCATTGTTGTACATGTATTCTCATCATTGCTATGTTCATAAGGCCCCTTCAGCAGATGTACATGTACACACTATAACCAGTCAGGTCCAGCATAATGCCCTCATCTGATTAACTATTGCACTTGATTGTGGCCTCCTTGGATTGGTGGGATAAGCCAGCTTGTCCTGTTGATGTAGGCAGGCAAGTCTAATTTGAGGATATGGGCAGTCTTCTCTATTCCCTCATTGTGATTTCTTGTCGTGCATCTTCAGATTGTGTCAGCGATTCTCCTTGAGGAGGTTGATGACAACCTCATCAAGGTTTGGACCAACTTTTTTTCCTTGCATGACTGATCACCATCGGGGAGATTTCTCATGACTACCTGTTGGTTGTATGGGCAGATGCTTTCTGTCTAATCTATTTCTCCTTTAACATCCCTTTTAAATAACAACACTTTACACAGTTTTATGGGTAATGCTTGCCAGGAGTCCGAGCACCGCCATGGAGTCTGACGTTTATTCACTTGGTACAAATTCAATGTATTGGCTTTCGTTTCTGAACAGAAATACTTTGAAGCTACTTGTATTTCGCCCACAGTCATTGAAATGAATATACAATAGATCATAAGGTACATGTATATTTTAAACACCAATTTATACAACAAAATAATTCTGTCATTTAGGTTTTTCTTACAAATCATATCAAATACAATTTTGTCTTCCTGCACCATGCAGTACTGCTAGACGCGGGATTAAAAACCAGAGATAAAACTCTATGAGAAAAAAAAGGACTCTGGAAAATGTTAAGTCTGCTAGTACCGTTTTGCTACTGCATTATACTTATATTTAGTTTTAAGAAAGTTCTTGGATGGTGGAAGTCACAAGCTAGAATGCTGCACCCTCGTTCGACTAAAAAACCCTTCTGCTTCTCATATGCTAATTACATACCTCTGCCTTTCGTACCTGTTACACAACATACGTACATACGCCAACCGATTGGACATTTTTTGCCTGCTATACACCTGTAACGCAGGCAAATTAAATTCCCCAGGAGCCCGTTTGGCAACAAAGGAAACACCTCTTTTGGCACCTTGCCTGGGTCATGTAGCTGCTTTCTCAAGTCATCCTACATACATAAGGCCTCCATCAGATCAGGAACTGCTACACACAAGGGTTGTGTGTGATGAGTTGAATTTGGTGGCAGATCAGTGGAGTAAATATCATTGATGGTTGCACTTTTCAAAACTTCTGGTGAAAGATCTGGCACAAGTTTGTTACCAACAAAGAGTCCCCCCCACAAAGCTGTACAAGTGGAATGAAAATGTCCAAAACCCAACACTGGAATGTGGCCATATCAAACACCTGCTCTTTGTAGCTTCATATTTGGTGCCCTAATTAAGACAGCGTGTTAATTCTCATAACAGTGTTATGCTTTATATACAATGGAAGGGGAAAGTTGGCCATCAGAAGCACTGCTCATTCAGTGTTCTTGTTTGTCTTATTATACATGTAGTTGATGATTTTGCAAGGGGGGCTCTTCTCATGATGTCATCCACCTTGTTGAAATACTCGACATGTTCTTTTGTTGCATTTGCCCCATGATGTCTTGACAATTTCTGCTGAACGAAAACTCAAAATATTTTTATAAGTGCAAAGAACTGGATGAAGCTTTCCCTAGACATGCAGTTGTAGATTCTGGGCTCATATCGACCCTGCTTATCGGCGTTAGTTGAGACAATAGTCTTGACATCTTGTAACGTGAAAGGATTCCCCCTTTGCAACCTCAGAAAGTGTGTGTACCAGGACATGTTGTGATCTTGAAGTACGTGCAGGGGTATCCGTGTTTGTATGTGAGTGTTTATTTCACGGACTGTAGTTTTGCAGCGTGGAATATGTGAGAGGTTTTTTATGTCCTCCAGTATGCTGAATGTCACTGTACTGAAGATGATATTCAATACAGGAGTTTGGCCATTACCTACAGTGGCTTGTAGAACCTCAAATTGAAAACTCCAAAATTATCAAAGCTAAAGAAGTGGATTCATGTACACGTGTTTGCAAAGTTGCATGCACTAACAACTCACTGAAAGTGTTTCTGGAGATTTCCTTTCTGTGCTGTCAAAACTGTTGAAAAGGATGTTGACTCAGGTCCTGGTTTCTGGTTGTGTTTTTTTAAATTAATCACATCTTTGATATAACGTGGCAGTTTGACCATCCAAAACACCTGAGTAGGGGAATCATTTTAAGACTTCCATTTTATAGTATTGTAATGTCATTAACTGCATCCTAATTAAGCTGGTTTAAAAGGGGCAGTGCTGGGTGGAGAGGCTACATCGTCTGAGTAGTACCCCCCCACCGGCAAAGAAGAGAACGGTAGGTGGAGTATTTTTCAATACGGGCATTTCACAGTAATAGCTTGTCTCCAAGAGTTTACCATGCGTTGGCCAATCACAATGCACAAAATCTGTCAATTCATTGTGCACTTAGAAACGGTCGACAAAATCCGTACATTGTAATTAGTCAACGCTGTGCAAACTCTTGGAGGCGCACTATTGTGAATCACCCGTATTCGTTTACGTAAGTAGCCAGTGCACATATGAAGACCACACAGCTTGACCCACTCTAGGTTAGGTGTGCATGAATGTGTGTGCAGATGCAGTCGGACTGTTGCCACCAAAGGAACACTTTTACGGTGTAAAATCTCACCATCTCTTGTCCCTGTACAGACTGGATAGGTGCTATTTATAGTGCTTTCTGTCACCAAGAGGCAACCACAGAGAAAGCATTTTTCCACGGCGTATCTTGGAATAGTTGACAGCTGTTTCAATGTTTGTAGACATGGCAAGAGCTAGTCATTTTGCTCCATGTTCCAAGAGAACTCTGGAGTTTTTTGTTTCTTTTTGTTTTTTTTTAAATAAACATTGAAAAGGCAATGGCTGCTTATTATAGGTTCTCATGGTCAAAATATAAAAGTTATTAAAAAGAATGCCAATTTATCTTGTAGCTGGTTTCAAGTTTATTTCCTCAGGCATTGAAACTGTTCGTTTATTTTGCAGCCAGTTGTTTGCAGGGTTACACAAAACATGGTTCCCCCAATTTCTCCCATACTTAACTCCATTTTTCTTTGAATTATGCAATCATCACAAATACTACTAATGTACACATTTGTGTGGGTATTCTCCATCCAGCTAATCAAGTATTGCATTGAAACAAAACTGCAAAACATGATTATCTTAAAGAGCAAGACGTCCCCTTACATATGAGGATATAGCATGCACAAAATTGTGAATTGGCCCATACACTTCATGTTTTGCTTTCATATCCATACAATCTGTGTGGTAGGTTTGCATTCAAAGTTCAAGCAAGATGAAGGCATTTGTGACCAGCTCTAGAAAAATGGGTAATAAGTCACCAGATTCAGGTTATGAGTTTTTGATATGGCTGGACTGTGTACATCACAAGCTACAATTTGATATATGAATGACCCCTGTAGTGCACTTCATTCTGGAGATATGTGGACATTTGTATGTCCACAGTTTCAGATTCAATAAAAGCACTTTTTGAGAGAAAGTTCAGAAAGTGTAGCACTTGGAAACAATGCTATGTAGGATTTCCTACTGAATGATCAATCATCTTTATTCATCAGTATCCATGATTGTAGTCACAAATTCTGAAAATATGAATCTTATAAAAGCTATTAACGGAAAAAACACAAAATCACGTTTTGAAGGAATTTTGCCCTCTCCAAATAAAACAGGCCATAACATGTTGTGGCATTGCACGACTTATTACTCTTTTTTGCAGAGTAGGTCACATTTATTCTTGTTTTACATTTTCAAAAAATGTTCTCAGCCTTTTTTTCGGATTACTGCTAAAAGATAATTTCTTCCCAAACTAAATTAAAACTGGAAATCGTACAAGATTAACCACATTAAATCCATGGACAACAACAATTTTACAAATGTGGGTCTTGTGTTCTTGTTTTGTAATCCCCATTCCACTTCTCCATTTTTTTCTGTATTGCAATCTGGGATTCTTTCACCTGTGTATCGATTGTATGTTTCAATCCAGTCTTCTTCTAAACATGCCTTTTTACCTGTTGCCTTCCATTATTCATGCAATATTGTTCTTTTTCCTGCTACATATGACAGAAATTAAGAAACACAGCAGAACCTTTGAGACCTGTTCTTGTGCCTTTAAATTGAAAATGTAGAGACAAGTTAATGCTAAATAACACATGAATAATGTAGGTCTAATTATGAATTCCTATTGCATTTCACAAATGGTTTCTTCTTCTAATATGGTACTTACACCTCTGAAAGCTCTAGGGAATTGGGATGTCCCAATGTGCAGTTTTAACAATGAATATCTTTTGTTTAAATTGCATGATTATAAAATGGATGTTGATCTGATCTTGCTTTCAAATTTGTGTAAAAATGGAAGATTTGTAATTAATTTGGATGCCAAATGCATTACAATGGCTGGGAAAATCTGTCTTGATGAGGCTCTCAGAATGCTCCTACACACCTAAATACGGAGGTTGAGATTAAAAAGGGGCCTATTTAAGGCAAATGTGAAGGCACTGACTATTCTGTAACAAACCGATCACATTGATCTGGATATAAATTACACATATTTTGGCCTAAATTATTCACAAAAAGTGCAAGGATTTTCAGTGACTGTTTGGCTGTTTGCATTGTTAACATTTTTTTGATAAAACCAGGAAAGAGTACATGTAGATTTATTCCACCATTTGTAAACAAAGCTGTTGCAGTGAGCCAGGTGCTGCAAATAAATACGCAACTATTCTACTAGGAAAATGAAACATTATCATAATACATGCAATTGGCAAATAGGTTTTGGAGTAAAGGCTTACTTCGTGTAATATGCTCTGTTTTGCTTCACTTGTATCTGTAAACCAGATCATGATCAGATGTACTGTGCTAATAAAGGAAATCAAGTTCATCAGATAATTGAAGACCTGACTCCAAGTTGGAACTGTTGATAGAATTTTGTTGTTCATTTATACATCATATACGCACATGCTTGTTCCATAGTTGTGGGGACGACATATGTTGAAACAGAGATGTGGGGACCAAAAAGTACTGGGGAAAAATTTCTGTCCCCAGAATTCGTTACGGCCTGCGCACTGGTTTACACTTGCACCAAACTGCACCAAATGCTTGTGACTTTCCTCAAACAACCCAATAATGTTTTTGTAAAAGAACCAGATCCAAGTGACAATGTAGGGTGAGAATTGTGCTCAAGTCTGTGAGGCCGTCCTGTTTTCACACATGTGGTACATGCGTGTTACATTTCTCTCAGGCCAGGGTGTTATAACTTGTCAAAATGGATACACGCACTCAAGTTAGAACCTGTTCATAAATGTGATGGCCCTGCAGGAATGGAGTCTCCTCGGATTTGTCTACACATGGATTCACACTGCTGGACACTGCTTCAGTCCCAGAATCATTTTCTTTCCAACTTCTCAGTATCAGCTACCTGAACAAATACCATTGGCAAAACAAAGGAGTGGCTGGTGATTGTGCAGGTGCTTAGTGTCCTTAAAAAAAGTAAAGCTTCTGTGTAATCCTAATTCATGCTCAATGCTTATAGTTTGCAGTTGTCAGTCCCTGGCTTGTTGATATTGCTGTAAGTTTTCCCATTTGTATGATCTGAACCCACAAGGTTTGTACCTGGTTTATAATAAAGCACCAAGTGGGCATTTGGCAACAGTACACTAGTACTTGTTTGTGTTAAGTTTACCAATTACTAAGTCTCTGGATGTTTATTTAACCCTAGCAGTAAAAATGGTGTGTCTGACTGTGGTATGAAGGATGCAAACTTATAAAACAGCAGTCTGCTGTAGAAGTGACATATTGGTTAAGTTTGCTACTCATATACGTGTGCGTGAATTTTTTACAAGTCATTTTTGGCAAAGATCTATGCTGTAAATTTACAGAGTCCAAGCACCTTTTGATTCAGCCAAATTTCTCTATGACTATACACGTATTTGACAAAATTTGCCTTTGCATATACAATTACCATGAAACTGCTTTGAAAACTAACATATTAAGCAAAGCCTGTGATGATGAATATCCCTTCCAAAAATGAGGCCCTGGAGGGCTCCTACCCTTAGTACAGAAACATATCAACAAGTGGACCTGTGAGGCCAGATTAAAAAAGTTTCGTCTTCCCAGGAGACCATTTTCCAAGATGGCAGATGTACTTTTGAGTGGTAAAGGATTTTCACCATATCTAACAGGTTTTAAAGTTGATTTGCAGCTAATATTTAGTTAGAGTCAAAAGAGAGGTAGCTGGGAAAAAGGAAAAGGACAGGTAAAAATTGTCCTCGGTTTTTTAAGTTATTTAGTTGCTATCCTAGCCACAAGATGCCAGTGAACAGGATTGAAAAAGCCATTATATCTGAAGTTGAGACTACTGCAGTAAAAATATTCTGATCACAAAAACATCTTGACTAAGGAGCCAAGTCAGGCTTTATCCCGCAAAACAAGACCACAAAAGGAGCAGTTACGCAGACTTCAATTTATGCATAACCATATTTACACATAGTTTTTATTTCAAACAGCAACAGATGACGGTGCTCAGATATTTCAAAATAAAATAATGCCATTGTTTCATACATGAATCTCAGAGGAACCACTGTACATAACAATGGTTTACATTATGTAATACAATGTACCCCACTTAATGGCAAAAATCTAACGAAATGCTTATCCATAATCTACAAAATTTACTTCAAAATTCAAGATCAACTTGAAGAGTTTCAGAGGCCCTCTATTTATTTTATGTACTGACTGCAAAAAATGTAATGAAAACCCCAGATAGAAAATTAAACTGAACTGTAAACCCCAAACACACAAAAAGCTGGGAAGTAAAACACCTGCAACTTAATAGAAAGTAATTAGTCTGTAAACCCTTGATGAACCACATTTGCATTGAATAAAGCTTTCACTTTACTATGCCAACAGTGAATCGACCGCATTACTACTACCTGACAATATTCAATTTCAAGGGAAAGAAACAGTGAAGTCAATACAACACCAAAAAGCTTCAACTGTCCATTAATTTTACCTGTCTTTGCTCTTTTTCTAGATTTCCCAAAGATGATACAAAACGGTTTCGAAGTTGTATTTACATAATACATCAAGATTTTATAAAATTGGGCACTGATATTTTTGAAAGGGAGAATTATACATACTTACTATGCGTTACGATATTTTCACAGTTTGTCAAGTGTGGCAAAAAACTGGAATTATTGCACTGTAACTCAAAACAAGCAGCATATTCCAAACAGGTAGCAAAACAAATAACAAGAATTCTGTTTTGAAGGGACCTTTGATAGTACATCCATATGGGAAGCAACACTGAACAAAAGCAAACCACTGGAGTACGTTTGAAATCTGATTTGTTTCTGGAACACACATTAATACTAATAGTTTTGTTATTCTCTTAATGTGGAAAGTAAAAGTAGTTTGAGAAGGGATCCAGTTACGGTGAATGTCCAGACAAGAGCAGACTGCATTACAGAAGGGAAAAAAATCTGTGGATTTTGCAACAAAAGCCTTCAAAACCCATTCACAGCTATTAAAAATTCTCAAGAACCTCTTAATGTATATCTGTATATTTTGACCGTGTCCATCCTTCTATGTTTGCATGTAGACTGTTCTTCATTGTTGCAATCACTACAGATACAAAGTTCTACAGAAGGTATTTCAGTTGAAGGATCATTCAACAGCACAAACTGTAACTCAGAGGAAATGATACTTGTGTGCTGTATATATATATTTGTAATTACTTGAATGAACCAGGCTTTAGCATGGAACATCTGTCCTACCACCACCTGGGACCCACTCACTGCAGCTGTTCTTAATGGAATAATAACTCGCCCTGTTGATTACAATATGTATTATGTAAATAAGATGCTAATTGATGCACAATGGCTTATGGAACATATGGCCGGTTTTGCAGACATGTTATGAACTCTCTCATGAGCAGCAAGTTGAAAAATGCACCATTTGTGTGAGAAATCTTTTTGAGAAAAAATCACACAAAAACCAATAACTGAATGAAAGTTGGGGAAAACAAAACAAAATGACCAAAAAATTAAATCAGAAATAAAAAGTGCCCGTGGGGGCTTTTCCTAATTGAGACAACGTGCATTCAGAAAATAAATGGCAAGGGCATTTGCATAGAAGTCTGAGGGTCTCTTGTTAAGGAGTTGGGATGAAAACAAACAGGACTGAATAAAGCCAGTGATGTGTATTGTTATAGGGCCTACTGCACCTGGCACAACAGCTGTGTACAGGCAAAATACATACCCCCCATGCCCTGATGAGATATCACAACACCAGTTAAGTAGGGCTATTATCAACATCACTTCTAATAGAACCAGCCTTCTTAACAAATGATGGGTTTCATAATTGAGGTACTACCGGTATGCTAGCACATCAAAACAAGCTGAGACAAGGATGGAAAAACAATTCAGAAAAATATTAAATGTTCATAAAACATGTTGAACTGAGCAGTCTTCAACATATCTCCATGTTTGTTCTTATTGAGCAACTTTCCATTTGAACATCCAAGTCAAACTATAGAATATGTCAATCTTAAATGATTTCTCCAAAGTTTTCAATTATACAAACAATGGAAGAGAACCAAAGCAGAAACAAAGATGAAACACAAAATGACATCAAATCACAGCACATGTACCGAAAAGACACACCAAATACTTCATGGAACAATGCAACGTTACAGTATTGAAAAAATACATGGAATAATGATCACTGAATTATGTGCATAATTACCAGTTACTGTCTATTTCTTTTCTTAAAATGAAGCTTTCAATAAAATTTATGAGTCATATACTAAGCCATGTGTGATGAAAAATAAAAACAGCCACATGTAAATGAGAAAGTTAAACTCATAACCCCACACAGGTTTCGTCCCTTATTAATCTCAATGAAAACACACTAAAGGGAGTATTATATGGAATTACTAAATTCATATTTTTGTTGTGGCATTACCAATAGCATGATGAGCCCACACACGCAGCACATGTATTTTAGTTGTATTCATCTTCAATGTAATCTTTTAAACAACTTGCAATGCAAAGTCTGTCTTCTGACCATGTCTATATTTACATTGGCACTTGTCCCAAAGGTGACTGACCTAGTATTCTGAGCACGGACTCTCTCTCTCTTCCATTACCCGCAGGCTCCTACTGACTAGCCAGGTCTTTCTTATTTTATGTCTTTCTCAAATGAAAACGGAAGCTGGCTTACAACATCATATGAGAAATGGTCTCGCCCACTCACAGGCAGCACCTGCCCCCAGTACAAAGGGTCGTGGCTAGCCTATTGACAAGGCTGTAGGAAGCAGCTGCACTCATGCAGGTGCACAGGAAAAGGCAAGCTAATGACTGGCGGGGGAATGAGGCACAATCTCGCTTCTTTACACGTGATGTCGTGCATTGTGCGCTTTGCCTGGATGCATGCAAGATTAGGATAAGACCAAGGGAAGCATCCAAGGCACTAAGTTTGTTTGAAGCTCATCTGCCTTCAACAGGGGAGTAACCTTTAAAAAGGGCCTAATATGTGTCCCCAGGGCAGATCAGATCAGAAGAGAAGCCTGTTATACATGCACCAGGGTAAAGGGGCAAAATGAGGGATACTAAGAATAGGCAGCAGGGTGTATTGTAGTGCCATGAATAGAAGAATATGGTGTAAGCTTCCAGTCTGCAACAGTTCTGTCATCGCTTATGGTCAAAGTGTCATTTGAACATAATGCCACAAGGCAGTTTTTGGACCACCCCCCCAAGCCCTTCTCCACTGAATCAATTTGAGTGGCAGTGCAAATTGCAGTGCTGGTTGGCTACAATTAAGAATGTCTCAAGTTTGAACACAGTACATTCTCTGGTACAGTAAATTTATGCCCATACTGAACTTGGCTAAATCTCTGCTCAGTGTGCGTTCAGATTTTGAAGAAATTTTAACATTCCACTGAAAGAAAAAAAGCCTTAATTTGAAACTCCCCAAGGCAGCATGTAAAATTAGTTCTCCAACTTGTACATATACCACTCCATCCATTGTACATGTAATGGTTTTACATTATTAAAAACATCAGTCAAATAATATATTATATTTGGTCTTTTATACACTGCAGTTAGCTTCCATCTGATCTGTTGCTTATCATATTCTCTTGTGTGTGAAGTGCATCCAATGAAACATGAAATAGAGAGGTACTGAATGCAGAACAAAGTGAGTAAAAAGATTGTCATTATGAGAATCTACCAGTTTATTGGGACCAGCAGTACCAGCCATGAGTGCAGTATCTCTCATATTCACATTTTCATATCTATTGGGTGATGAATAGAACACTCAATGATACAGGATTGGCCATTTTATCAAGTGACATCAGTTAAGAGACATAGTGATCTGGGTAATTTATGAGGGTTACAAAACAGGCTTTCTTTGATATTGAGAATGCTCATCTCATTATGGTGTAAATAGGCTGTAAGATACATAACAGTGAACCATGTATTCATTCTGCATGGCATACATTAAGACAAGCCATTAGCATCATCAATCATCTTTCTCTAGCATCTTATTTCTGTCAATGAATAAATTATACGCATGTTAAAGATCAATCACATTGTTCTAACATAAAATGGTTATTTAACAGGGAATTGGTCACTGTTACCCATACCATGACTAGCGTGGCAGCTTCCCTCTGCATTTATAAAATAATTGTCATTTGGGAAGTTCAGTTCCACTGCGAAAATGCTCAGAGTAAATGCATCAACGAGGGCAGCAAACAAATCTATCGATATGATGATGTCACAATACAGCTCTCATCCACCAGAGTTTCTTGACCTTGCAGCCGTAATAGGATTTTTACCTGCCTGAAATTCATCAAGACCTTACTCTGGTTCAACTTTATCGTACAGTCCGTGTTGATCAAAATTGTTGATGGAAAAGCAATTCCAAGTCACTTTCACTGTCCGACCTCTTTTAATTCACAGTTAAAGTGCGAGCAACATTCACCTCAAAATAACGAAACAGTCCAAATAATAGCAGAGCCGTAGTGTGACGTCATCAAAACAGGCTTCTATTGGATGTTCCCGACGGATGTTGTTTTCAGTTTGCCTGATATGAAGGAGGACTTCACCTCGTGCTTTTGATGTCAATTGCAATCTTTATTTAGTTTTTACATAACCAGATTGTTTTAAATATAACTGGATTTCATAAAAAGTGACACTGTGTATTTACTAATGTGATTGATCTCTAAATAAACAGGTACATTCATTGCAAGATGCATTTCTCTTGTCATCAAAGGGATATTCTGTAAGGCTGCATATGCTGAATGTCAGAGCTGTTTTTGATTCCTGGAATGGGCATGCTTTGTTTTGATATCATTTTAGATATTGCAACATTGCAGGTACAGTTACGGGAATCGGGTAATAACTTCAAGCAATTCATATTAAGAAAAACACCAAAAAAGCAAAATAAACAGCTACAAACAAACAACAAACAAACAAACCAACAAACAAAATTACTATGCCTGTCAAAAGCTTCATTTAGTGTGTGGTAAGCCAGACTGATGATAGTGGGACATTTAGACACGATTTTAAAGCTGGCAAGAAAGTAATAATACTTTTCATATATATATTACATACTTCTCTTTATATACATAGTACAAATTGTTGAGACTTGGTGAACACTTGCCATGGTTGACATTTCTAATTGTTTGTTGTCTTACAAGTATGACGCACATTACATATATGAACTTGGACCAATGCTTGACATATCCTAAATGATATGTTCATCGAGCAGCTTCTGTAGTGACAGCTACAGCAGCAGGTGGTGAGCCTGCTGCAGAGACATTGGAGTGGCTGGATCCAGCAGGACTTGCTGCTGCTGATGATGCGGCAATACTTGCTGCAGGTTTGGCACCCACTGTTGTTGCTATAGTCTCTGTGCGGCCTGAGGTTGCAGTCTGAGCAGCGTATTGTCCACAAACACGGTGGTGTGTTTCCCAATCTTTATGTTGGCAGAAAGAGCCACAATATCTGGCAGTGTTACAGCCACTACAAGTCTCATTGGCCTTCCGTCCACAGTTCCAACAACTCTGCAAAGCACAAATGAAACATAAAAATAAACCTTCAGTGGTTTGTTCCCCAAGCCATTCTCCTTGTCGTGGACTCCTGTCACTCAGCCTCTTGGAATGTTAAGGTGCTCACTGAGCAAACAATGCATACAAGAAGCCTGATGCAACACTGACAGTGATAACAGTCCACATTAGAAGTGGTTACTTTACTCACCTACAAAGTATTTTGAGTTTTCGGATTGAATATTTTTATTTTTACATTTTGTTAAAATGTTCTTAACTCTTCAATAACTTTTAATTTTTATTTTATTACCATGAAACTAGATACTTTTCATTTGGTTACTATTCTGTGTCTATTGAACTGATATTGATCAAGGGACAGCTGACGAGATACATGTATGTATTTCTAAAGTGGGTAATTGCTGTACAGCATGCTTATATTTACACCCATTGTATAAAAAGAAAGCACTTTTATTTAACACAAGCCAAAAAAGTGAAATTTGGAGTTTCTCTCCCACATTTCACGGATGTGTATCAACTGCTAGGCTGTTAAGGAAGTCAGGCCTATATTGCACATGTCACTTTCCCACAAATAACAGTCACCTGGCACACACATTATCTATGATTGGCAACCTCTGTCTTCTTGTGTTTAACGAATGAATCTATCTGACCATCTGACAGAAACAGATACATTTAATAACCGTACATCTTTTGAAAAAGATCTCCTCAAAAGCAACAGTATAAAAGACTTGGAGCTCTATCACAATACAAACTCAGGGGTCAAACTCCTGAAATTCAGAAAATTCCTTGGAAATCACATGCTTAGCCAAGTTAATCAGACATAATGAGCCTACAGCTACACAATGGGAAAGAAACATAATACCTGCTTTTGAAAGTATCTAAAAAGAAACTGACACCAGGTCAGAAAAAACACCAGATGTAGTCATGAAAAGTTCCAACAAAAGGCTCTTTCCTGAACCTGAGTACAGACCTTCATTATTATGGTTAAGTCAAGAATGTCATACTGCACAAGGATATTCAGTGACTGACTTGCACTCACCTCACTAGAGTCCTCCTGATGATTCAACATTGATACTACATTGTCTGCTGCCTGCCTCCTAGCATCCACAACAGCCTGGTCTAATTTGGCTCTCTCAGCATTTACCATCTCATTAGCCTTCTGTTCGGCTGCTGCTACTGCCTTCTGAAGCTCAGCCACTGCTTGTCGCTTCACTTCATTCACAGCTTCTTCTGAAATCAATGACAAAAAGAGAGCATGCCCTGAATTATAGATCAACCTTCAAGACTGCAGCACAAAAATATTGAAAATGATAAGTCTAAATTCAATGCAGGTTATTCATTTCCAATGACAGGACAGTAATAGTGGCAATTCTACAAAAGTGGTTGATAATCACAGCATTATTCACCTGCACCTGCTAAGCCTTTTGCAAGTGTATTTTATATCTAGCAAATGTACAGTATGTCAATACCAAATACACATAAGTGCTTTCAAATGAAAGCCATGAACTGGATACTGTAGTCAGTGTCCAATTCAGCAGGCTACTAAGCTCAAATTTCAACATAAACTTGAATTTGGATATCTTATGCAATGGTTTGGACATGCAAAGAGTGCTAAGGTGACAGACTTACTGTCATCCATGATGTATCAGTGTTACATTCACAGAGCATTTAGTGACCATTTTCCCTCTTCGATCCATTAATGCCTAGCCTTATGGTGAACTGTTGAGAATTCAAACCAAGAAGATTACCAAATTTCTGGCCTATCCCTGGATACTAAAAAAAACCATGTTGGTCATAAGCTAGATCTGTTGTACATATATTCTTCTTGAACTTGCTATTTGTCCTGAATGATTGAGTGGCCAGACAAGAGTGTTGATATGTTGGTGCACACAGCTGCACTTCATTTAGTGACAGCCTGATAATACTGAGGGCAAGACAGGCCTGGTCTACAACAGAAACTGCACCTGGGTAAACAAGCCTGACCCCATTATGCTCACAGGGACAGACCCCCAGCTCTTTTGTGCTGAAATCAGCTGCAAGCTTGTTCATGGTATAATTATCATCCTTGCTGAACTGGTATCTAAAGAAAGCAGGATTGGTTAAAGCAGGGTGGGTTCAGTGCTTGTGTTTCATGGAGGCAAGTAAATTTAAGCACAGTTCTTGAGTAAAAATTGATTACTTCCTCATTTGTGGGATATTTTCAGCATAAGTAGAAGCTATGCCTTGTACAGCTCAAGAAAAAAGGAAGTAGGAAATACAAATTCAGGCTGCGAGATACACCTGTTCAGAGAGAAAACAAGTGTCTGAGAGACATTTCTGGCTTTCATTATTCACTATTTGTTGACACTGCTACTGTAGGGCCTATACTGTTTCTTTGTTTAGACTGAAGGAAAATTTAGCTAAACCTACATGGGTAAGTAGACCCATTTATTAACTTCAATGCTGTGAATATGACTCTATGTATTTAACCCTTGCAAGTATGTGTAATAGTTGGGTAACAATGACCTCCTGAGGAGTTCCCCAGGGATGATTGCTTACATGTGAACTAGTTGTTACCTCCAAAGGAGGTTATTGAGGATAATAAATTCACATGATATTTACTTTTGTGGTTCTGCTTCAATACCAACAAGATTAAATAAGCAGTGGAAATCAATTGCATCGCTACTGCTTGAAAAGAAAATAAATAAGTTAGTAAGCCAAGTACTTCAGCTTCAGATTAATTCAGTTTTCACTGTGCAGACTCAACTTTCTTCTTTCAGCAAGTTTTTCACCTTCAATTACTGGTATTAAAGACAATTCTATCCAATCTCTCATAGTCTATTGTAAGTCTGAAGTAGTCTAGAAAGCTTCATAATAAATGAACCCATCATCATGCATGTTTAGGTTTTCTGACCTGCAGCTGAGCTGTGCAAATCCATCTCACATAAATAAGAGATACTACATGCATGCAGGAGACTGACTGTGTTACAGGAAAGCTGCAGAGGAACAACTCTGCCCTGGCAAGTAGGCTTAATGAAAGCAGATGTTTCCCATGATAAATATGCAACAATCGAATACTAAAGCTCTTAGAGAATACAGCCATACAGCAGTCTACTAACTGAAGAAGTTACAGACAACCAATTTGTATTACAGAAAATTTCTGTCAATTCAATCAACATTTAAAGATTGCTCCAGGCTTTTTATGTGACGACCCCCCCCAAAAGTCAAAACAATTTAATGCTTACAAATCTGTTTAATACCCTGCCTCATCAAACAATAGCCACAAGTCATGATTCCATTTCCATTTAGATAATGTTGACAAGACTTCTCCGCTTTGAGGGGAGGGGGAGACTGTGTATCACACATTTCAACTGACAAACATGAAGGAGGCAACAATGACAAAAGAAGAAAAGACTTGGCTCTAGACACACACCGAATGAAAGATGTGGGAAAGTGCATTCACCCAGTCTCTGAGAATTTCTGGACAAACCAGCCCGGCGTTTGACCTCAGCGATGCGTTCGTCATTTGGGCGTAGGCCATGGGGTATCATGTCTTCTGCACGTTTCTTCAGATCTTGCTCTGTGCTCTCTGTATGTCTGCGGGCCCACAGTGACAGTTCCTCACGGTCCTGTATGCTCCTTTGGTGGAGCACTGCAAGGGCACGTTTGGTCTTCTCTACCATTCCCACAATGCATTGCAGCATCTGCATACAAAGTGAAACAGTAAATGTATGTCGATACATGGAATACTATGGAATAGTTACATTTATGTGTGCATATGTCTGTGCCTTTAAACCACAAGTGTTTCAGCAGTGGCCAGATTCTGCTTTTGCATTGGTAAAAATTGTGGATTACTGACGGGCATTTTGACAAGATGCTGCATCGTGCATAGCGTAGTGATCATGTCGACAGTAGATAGAACATTGTTGCTTATGAATAATAATACTGAAGAACAAAAATGAAGTACCAAGTAGTAACAATTTTTTAGACCAAATTTCATTCACTGTTGATGATACCAATATATGTGCATAAATTTGAGCTTCCCAGATTGTATCTGTGAAGTTTTCAAGACTTAAGAGTTAAACATAACTAGGAAGTAACTTCAAGTCCACTGCAGGGTGGCGAGTGTGGGGGTGATGCTTGTCAACACATATTGTAACTCACCCATGTATGGACCCATTATGTTAGTATTTCCCAGAGTGCAGGAGTTTCCAAACTCGTATTTGATATTTGGCGACACAAGGGCTTGTTTGTGTATATTAGCACTTTTGTTTCTAATTCATGTTATGATTTGATTTATACTGGTGATAATGCCATCCCATCTGTTTCTGTGTAGTAGGAAACAGTACATCATATTTTCTGCACTCTTTTCTGCACTTCAGTCACAACTGGTTTAATTCTTTCTTGTTTATTCACTGCTAATGGTGAAGAACACTTATGGATTAATAACTTCTACAATTTTTATCAGAGAAGGCGGATTTCAATTCTGGTTTTTTTTTTTTTAATTCTATGCCTACCGTACACACTCAGCAAACACTGAAAACAGCAATGACAAAGTAGGCACAACAACGATAGGAAACACACTGCTGGCAACAACAGGGCAACAGTGGAAGCAAGCATACCATCCAAGTTTAATAATTTGATAAATTATATCACGAAGTTTACATTTAAAGCAAGATGTGAGATATGAGATGGAAGATTGGAAACATAATGCTTGATTTGTGAAGCAAGATGTGAGATGGCAGATATAGAACACCATAGTGCTGAAAGTATACACTGAACGAAGTACAGGTGCATAGATTTCCAAACCAAACACCATTGGAAACAATCCAAACAGTGGAATAATATTTGTCAGATGATTCACAGAACTTCACAGTAATTTCTCTTTCTGAATGTATTTCTTCAGTCATGTTTTTTATTTTGAAGTCTAAGTGCTTTTTTGGTGCACACTGGCGACACTTATTGGACTGTAGCCGTATGCAAGTACAAGTACAAGTAATACTCCATAACAGGCACTGCAGTCCATCACACCAATGTACTGCTGTGCTTTACAAAACTTTCAATATTGTAACTTTTAGGAACACTGTCACAGAAACAACATGTAATAATAAACAGTGTCTAACATAGCACACTGCTTTATATAGAAGGTCCTCAGATATTTTATTGGACCTAAATGTTGGATGAGAGTGCGAGTGTAAATGGGAAAGCAATTAAGCAGAAGTTGAATGTACATGACCAATGGGGCAATAGTCCCAGATGTGAAAAAGAGCTCCACATTTATATCTGAAAGAGCATTCAGGAACTGCTGCCATTGGAATCTGCTGTATCATGTTGGTTTTTATACAGGGTGTATCAAAATAAGCAAAACACAATTTCAACCATATTTTACAGGAAAACTGCAAATTTCACCTGCTGGTCAACGATGCATTATTACTCATTCAACCATGAAATTGAGCACATGATCAGGGTGTCATTGGAAAGAAGACATTCAGGCTTTTCTGGAGACAAATAATGAATAAAAGAAATCTGAAATTTTCCTATAAATTAAAGTTGTATTTGGGTTTCCTTTATTTTGATACACCCTGTATATACTTGGCCAAAGAAGTAATGCACGTTGATGAAATTTGTTTTTAGTGTGTATATTTAATGCTGTGGTGATCAATTAAATATCTGAAATACCACAGTGGATGCCTGTATTTTCAAGCACAGTTCTTGGGTGATATGCTTCACTGAACCCAAAAATGGTGGTTGGACAAATTTTCTATGAATCACATGCTTTGCTTTGATAGCCTAATTAGCATAGGACTTGAAATGTTCTTCTGATAGCTAATGATTGATAGAGCACAGAACCAAAATTTTTCAGCAAATGGACTAACAACAAGAATGCCACAACTGAGTCAGTTTGACCGAGCCAGTTTGACCGAGCCTGCATTATCGGAATGTTTGATGCGGGCATGTCAGCAAGAGATGTAGCCACAGATTTCCGAGTCCATGAATTGGCAATCAGTGAACTCAGAAATCATGCAAGAGACACTGGAAGTGTGTCAGATTGTCCAAGAAGTGGTAGACCTTGAGTGACTAAGCCCAATCAAGATTGGTACATCATTGTGCAACACCTCCATGATTAATGCTGCAATATAGAAAGACACCTGGACGAACAAATTACAGGGTTAGTGCTCAGACTGTCAGAAATCGACTTAGTGCTGTACGACTCCCCAGCAGATGCCCTTACAGGGGTCTCCCACTGACAGCAGATGGTTGTCAGCATAGGTTGGCATGGGCCCACAAACACTGTGACCAGATGCAGAGAATGTGGAATCAAGTGATTGAAGGTGAATCGCGTATCCCTGATTATGTCTCTTTTATTGATGTCATTGCCATGCCCATTATCTGGAGCTGGTTCAATCCTTCTTTATATTTATGTTTTAGAGTCTATTATTAATTTATTTTCTGTACCTATGACCTCTGGATCAATAGTTTTTATATACAGCGGAACGCTGCTATATGACGAACATGACTGGGTGCACGCTAAATGTTCGATACAGCAGTCGTTCGGTATAGCAAAATTAACTGCCAAACGTTTCGTTGCCATGTTGAATAGCACTCTCTCGCCTAACTGGAGTGCACCCTCTTGTGATACTATGATTAATTGTTTTCGCGATGTTTTGCCGTTGCATTCACGTTTGAGGTTTCTAGAAATGTATCTGTTAATTACTCTTTTTTTTCTATCTTAAGTTACAAAATGGATATTTAGTTTATCCTAAAAGTTGTGAAGCTATTGCTCAGGATCGATCTCTGATGCATGCAGTGGCGAATCTCAGTTAATTTGCATCTACATAATGTTCGGTAGGTTTTGTGCACAAAATATTGGCAGCCAAGGACAATGTCAAGTACAGCCGAATGTTCGGTATAGCGGTATTCGGTAGAGTGATGTTCCACATTCATTAATGTTATAAGATGTTATCTAATTTTAATTCCAGTACAAATAAGAAATAAATAAGGAAATAAATATCCGTGTAGGCGATGACAACCTTGATGGTACTGTTGTCATAGTGAACAAATTTTCCACTGTAATATCATAGAGCATGACAGGTGGGGAAGTCCCAGCCTCCTGGTTTTGGATGGTATCACAGCTGATCTGCTAGTCATTGGGGGCACCTCAATGCCAAGAGATACCGGGATGAAATTTTGGAACCAGCAATGAACCCATTTCTGAATGAACACCCAAACATAACCCTGTTTCAACATAACAATGTTTGACCTCATGCTGCCAAAGTGATTACCCAGTATCTTGAGGACAATCACATTGAACTCCTACCATGGCCTGCCTTCAGTCTAGACCTGAGTCCCATTGAGCATGTGTGAAATAAATTTGATCACCACATCCAGTCACATCCAGTGGTGCTTAGAACAGTTCAAGAACTTGCCACTGCTTTATGGGATGTCACACTCTACCTCATGTTACCATTAGGATGCTGATTCAGTCCATGCATGGACACATCCAAGCATGTATCACAGCAATGGGAGTTCATACACCATGTTAATTACTTTCAACTTAATTTCCATGATTGTTTGTACATTTCTAGTTCAATATGCTTACATTTAGAAAAAGTGTGTTACTTTTTTTTCCAAATGTATTTTCACTATACAAGTTAGCATTTGCCACAGGCAGCTCTACATGAGCTCTTTTAATTTGCAAAGGACTTGTTAGCAACTAAACTTACACATCAAGGTTGTTTACCCAACAATATGAGCATATGTACGTAAAGGAACAACACAAATACTGCACATTTGCTTCTCCACTTATTTTTCACTGCTCATGGGTGTCAACTTGGTTTAATTTGGAATCTTGAGGGTTTTGTGAGTTTTGTTTTCCACATTCTACTCTCATCTGGCTGGCAAGCACCTGAGGGTTGTCCTGATAAGATGTGGTGTTTACCAACACAGTAACCATACGTCAATCCTGGCATTCAGTGCAGCCTTTATGAAGCCTTGTAAAAAGTTCCTTGAGGCTTTGCTTTTGTAATATAACATTTCTTATGACTCCTGAAAGACTAAATGCAGTAATATTGTGCACCATTGGCGACATATAATCTTATCCCAACCAAAATTATGAGTACATGTATCTTCACCATAATTTATCTTGGGATGTCTTGATAAGTTAGCAGAGAGGCTGGTTGATCTTGTGGGAACAAAACACAAGAAATGAGAACCACAGATCTGCATGAAGTAACCTTTTCCAAAAACAGGGTTTGTCAAAGAAAAGAAGAATAAAGCTTAGGCTGCAATCTCAAGGGTGAAAAACTACTCACTGTGTCAACATGTTTCCAGTCATCCTCTATTCTATCATCGAGAAACATCTGATCGGGGTAGACATGCTCTCTGGCTGGGAAACCTAAGGAGATTTAACAAAAAAGAAAAGTCAATGATGAGTCAACTAAATAATTTCAAGGTGTAATTTACAAGATATTCCCTCACACAACTTAAAGGTTAGAATTTATTTGCTCAACATATTTCAAGTAATTAGCATTCTACAAACCCAAAACTAACTCTTCTTACATATTTTAGTTGTTTCAGGAAATTGGTTATTACAAACACAAAAATGTGAACAGAACAGTTGGTTTAAACAAAGTGGCTACCTTTTATAAAAGGCAAAACATTTCAATCACCAAAACACGAATACAATTCCGTACAATGATTACATATCACAAGAGCCCACCAGCTATCTGTGTTTTAATTAACTGATCAAAACAGTCACCAGATTCTCATGGCTTTATGCCAACATGTAGGCCTAGGCCAAGGGTTCTGCAACCCCAACAATCTCTGTACTGGTTCAAAAGCTGAAAATCACAGCCTCAGGCACTCAGCCAGTCTTGTTATGCCCAGCCCCCTGATCTGGTTACCTCCTCCATTTATTAGCCCCAATCACAGGACCCTTCAGCATATTCATAGCTGGGATTTTGCAATGAACAGCCAGATTTATTTACAGCAGGATTAATATTTTATTGTTAAGATACTGGAAAGTGGAGAGGCAAGTACTGATCCAGTTGGCTAACAGGCCTCCAAAAATCTGGATTCACATAGCACTCTCTTGTAAAAAAAAGTGCCCCAAACTTTTTACATTGTACTTTTTAAAATTATTTTTTTAGACGTGCAAGTACATGTACTGCAGTCAATACCTACGATGGTTACATCTGGGCATTCATTTTAATACATTTAACAACACAGAAAATATTCTGAAGTTAATAATTCTTAGAATCCACATGAACATAATCAAGTACACTGTAGGATTGAACTAGCATTTCCTGCCACTTTTTGACATCTTGTTACAGTAGCATCCTTATTGGTGAAGCAGTGGTCATCTGAATGCAAAAAGACCACAAGTCCACTGCTACACTTAGCCCTACAATCACAGAATCATTCACAATCTGAGTATCTCATTTTAAACACAGGCATCAACTGGTGTATGATCATCATCGACAATGACCAGTAATCCTCTTCATGTTTGCAAGCCAGAGAATATACACCATCCATAGATCAAATCGGCCTCTAAATGACCAATCGCCAGAGGTAGGCTGACCACTACACATGTAGCAGTTTTAAAGCAAATTCAATCATGCCAAAGTCAGCAATTTCCATTATGCATGTGTACATGTAGGTCTACCCATTCTTTATTTAACAGGAAAAGGGCCAAGTACAATAATGGAAGCTGTGTCTTTTTCCATTCATATGACCAATAATTTATCATTACATGTAGGTCTCTCTCTACTGATGTTAGTTTCTTTAGATTGCCATGTGCACTGGCATATTTATCTTCAAACTTTCGTGACGCGCATGAAAAAAGTAGATACTTTCTTCTTGTGATATACATGTATATAGGTAGATTGATGACCCCAAGAGACACCAACAATGAATTTGTTACAATCATGCTTATCTAATGAACTACAGAAGAAAACATAAAAAAAATTATGACATACAATGCGAATATCAAAAGAATATGCAAACAAGGTTCTGAGTATTCATTGATTAATTACATGTAGATCGGTGATAGATTATTTCTTTGGTGGGGGAAGGGGGGGGAATGAGGCCATGCCAATTCCCCCACCCCCAAAATAGAGGCAACAGGTTGGTGGTGGAGGAACTGAATGACTTTTAGGGACTATTTCATTTCCTTTCCTCTCATAAGCTAGTACAAAGCCCTTAATTTTAGTCTCACTGTTGAGAAAACTGTTCAAGATAACATGATTGGTTCTGGATCCACCCTTAATGACCTTTCTATATTTGTACTACCACTGATAAGCACTTGCATGAGGTGTGGTGCCTATTCTAGGGCAGGAAATCAGAGATTTCAACATACATGTACCATACCACTCTCCTGTTTAAGCCAATAATTGAAATCAGATAATGTAAGGAAAGATTACAGCAAATTACGAGAGCGGAAACACCCAAGTCCAGACAGCTTTATCCTTTCCTTCTTAGTAAGATGTGTGTCATGTTGACATGAAGAGACACATGCTTATTAAAGGCAAATTTGTGATAAAATACGAAAAAAGCAACCTGCATGTATTAGTAGCTGCTTTACATTCCTAATGCACCTTACTGCCTGGACAAGATGCTTCATACTCACTGTATCCTGGGTGCCTGTCACGTTCCCTTTCGTACCTCTCGCGGGCCATTTCTCTCATTTCCCGGGCATGAGCAAGGTCCTCCATGCGAATCTGATGATGCGGCATTGCTGCAGCAGGATAATGGTTAGGGGCCTGGGGTGGTGTGGTCAAGTGAATGCTCCCTGGACTTACAGAACAATGCCTCTTAGGAAGGGGTACCTCTGTCATATGATCAGCACCATTCTCCTTGGGTCTTCCCATTACTCTGTAAATATGACCATCAGCAAAGTGTTATCAGTATTTGTTGGAAAAAGAAAGAAAAATTACACCCCTGAAGAAGAGCAACGTGTTGGGCACAGGGAAATTAACAGCACATTGCTCCTCACTGAAACAAAACAGAAACTTATCAACAAATATCAACAGCATACACGGATACCAGGCAGTATTTTTACAGCCATGAAGACTGAGTTGTATTTCAATGACGTGAAGTCACCATGTTCACAAGTGCTGCGCACAAGTGCTGCAAATAAGGTTCAGTTTTGGTTTGGTTCAGACATAGTTTGGACATGTACACCAATGTATACACATGTTAATACATGTACAATGTACACTGAAAAAAGAGCTCACTACGAGCGTGCTGAAGTACTTCACGTATGAAATACATTAATACAACTAATGAAACTCCTTTTCCATGCCCCATCCACGAGCAATGTTGATTTCAACACATTTGTTTCTAAACTGTTTCCCTAAAGTTTACTTCGGAGTTAAAATACCACAGAAAGTTATCGTCGGAAGTGTGACATTTTTTAACATGCTTGACTCAACAAAATGATCGTAGGATATGTGGAGCCGTTTGTAAACTTTGCATATATTAGAAGAAGAAAGATGGCCATTTCTGTAGTGCCTTAAGACGAGCACGCGTCCGATGATGATCAGCATCCAATCAAAAGTTGTTTTGCATGGTCACTTATGACATCATTGGCCTAATATGGAACATAGGGGTGTGTCTATCAGAGATCATTGGAGTGCATAATGTAAGTTTGAATATACATAAGCAAAATTGAATGAAGTGAGAATTGAGCACTATAATGCAACATATACGCTGTACCTTGCATGTTCTCAGTTGATATATTAGCGAACTCTTACCACAGGCTTTTTATTACCATCACATGATGCATAGCCATTTTAAGTGTACATCATATCCTTGTTCAGTATGTACGCACATGTGCGTGTGCACGGGTGTATGTGCTAAGTGCATCACAGTGAGTGCATCACATTTTTCGTTTGTGTTGCTTTTGTATGTAGCTTTCACGCATGCATTCCACGAGCTATAAATATCACGTTGTATTACAGATGAACATCCGAACCAACAGCTTGGTTTGGTTTAGTTCGAAAGTGAAATGTTGGATGATTTTTGGTTTTGTTCGGTAGTTGGCTGTAGTACTACATTGCACATTGCTATCTAATACTGGCTGTACACGTACATGTACATGTATATGGCAGTGGATACATTGTTGGTTACTCAGTAATCTCTCCGATTTACTCCAGCCACCTCCATCACCACTAAAAAGGACGTGATTCAACAAAGCACCTCTCCTGTAGCAAGGTAATTTTTTCCCACAATAAGGTGGGGCAAATTACAATGTACATGTACATGTAGCTTGCTCACCTGTCATCAGGTGTTCGGCGTTTGCCATTTTCATTGATGTCTGTTACAGCTTCCCCTTCAGCAGGCATGGTCTTGCCATCTAGTATCTGCTGTTCATGCTGCATATAATACTGTGAGGGTGTCATTTTGGCTAGTCTGGCACAGTGCATCAACTCTCGCTGCAGAAGTGATAGATTAGCCTGGGGACATATCATGGGGAATTAGGGCAATCAATAACTAACTGTCCATTGGCATATCATTCCACTCAAGCTTCATTAATTGACCATACCCTGTTAACTTATACAGTGTACTGTCTGGTACACAATAAGATTTTTCAAAAAGAAGAGGAAGGAATTCTATTCAGTTCACTACTAACACGGCCAAAAACACTACATGCAATGTCTACAAGAAAATGCACCGATATGTTTAAAAATAACTCAAATTGGAAAAGTATTATGCAAACGTCTCATAATAGATATTGAACTTTCCACAAATGAGTTAAACCACTTTGTTAAAGGTATGGAAACAAGGTCAAATACCTTGAGAAATGGTATCACAAATGGCCGAAGGGGAAAGTTGGTTGCTTCCTGAAGCTTATGGTGGAAATCTTCCACTGTCAGTGCATTATTCTGGAAAGAGACAGAAAACAAAAACAATTTCAATTTTTTTTAATCATTCACCCCTAGTTCCAATATGGCTAAATAAACAATTCTTTCAAATTGAATGCTTGTCAAATATTCAAATAATTATGAATTATTGCCGTCACTTTTAACAAACTCATGTTGAATTGAATTGTCACATCATGCATTATGGTTCACCACTCTGGTAGTGAGTAACATGCAATACAACTAGATGTGACACATGCACATACAACCCAGAGATTTTTTTTTTTTTATTAAAACTTTGCAGGAATGCTGCTGGTGGCCATGAAAACTGTTGTACCTGTATCTCATGACAAGAAGTATATTCTTACCACAAGTCCCATGACTAAATTCCTGACCCTCTCGCCAATTTCTGGGGAAATATCAGAGCCGAATTGTTGCAATGTAGTAAGGAATCTCTTGAGTTTGCTTAGCTGCCTGGCACCACAAGCTGGAGGCAACTCTTGGCCTGTTGGTGTCATGCCAGTAACACTACTTGGGGGAGAGGGCGTGCTGTTGACACTGTGTGGAGAGTGCATCCCATTCACCAATGAACCTAATGAAGGAACAGTGATTTCCATGATAAATGTCTTCGGTGATCATTTCATCCTAAAAATACACATGGATGTAACTTTTAGTATTGTGTACAAATGTATACATCATCAGCCCTTTTAGTAATGGAAGATTAAAATCTTCAAAAAAGGAAGGGCATTAGCCTACGGCTGAATGTTAAAACAAAGACACTGTGTGTACATGCATCACTGAAAAACTCAACAAAATATTTCTCTACATTCAGAGTGCTGCCTACATGTACATTGTACTTTAATTCATTTTCTACCGGAACTATATCAGGAATTCCTTGTAGACCTTATCCATTGTAGGGAAACATGTATGAAACTGAACATGAAGCCGATATTAAATTGCAGTGTGTGCCTTCAGCAATTATCCTCAGGGGGATATACATGTACTATAAAAGATATAAAATGTATATGAAATACAGGAATAAAGCCTTAAAGCAAATCATAACCTTACAGGAAGAGTATGTCCATGACACTGAGAATTAACAAATGTGTGACAATGCCTACTGATGAATGAGAACCTTACCTGAAGCTGAATTTGTAGAGAGAGATCTAGGATGTGTTGCCATAGCTACAGCACCCGGTGATGTCTGGGTTGCTAGCTTATTCATGCTTGTCTGTTCCACTGGAGATTCAGGTGTTCTGCTGTCACTGTGATCTGCACACATTTGTCAGACAAATAACGCAAAGGGAAAGAGTTCTTTTTGAGTACCACATAGAAAACTCATGTTGCAATATCCACTGGGCCGATATCCACTCTGCTAGCAGGTGCTGGGGAAATGAGAGTGCGAAAATGAGATGTAAAAAGAAAACAGATCTTGGTGTTTGGGAAAACAGGACACCCTAGCGTCAACCACCAGATCGGATATTACTGTTGTTTGCTGGCAGGTGCAGCGGGTATGAGGCATTGAGGAGGGAGAAAGGTGAAGTGTCTTTTACAAAATGGTCAACCTGGCAGGATCAAAGGACAGGCCCACCTGCCTCGGAAATCTAAAATCAATGCCTCCTATCGTAGTGAAACGCTCTGCAAAGATGCTATCCTGACAGGCCAATGGTCAATGCACTGTGATCTGAAGTCCTTTCTTGCTGTGACAGGACAGGAGACCCAGAGTGCTTTGGATGAAGAGTGAGAGACATGTTGAGAGAAGCAAGGGCAGTGAGTGAAACAAGAGGCAGAGTCTCTCCATCCATGGCAGATTTTCCTGTTCCACTGTCCAAGAATCTTAAGGCATTTAGGGCAATACAGCTTTCAAGTTAGGTCAAGGCCCATGTGGCATTATAAAGTGCCAACTGTTCAATAAAATATTTTAAAACAAAACATCACGTCATATTTATAATAGCCACATTACAGAAACATATCTCTGTATTTCTCTGAAACTCACATTTGCTTATTTATGTCAAATGAGTGTGAAATTTAGCATCAACATCATTCAGCAAGTCCATCCAATGTGGATGCACTACAGTTGTAGGAATGTTAGTATCCATGTTTGATACTCATACCTACTGTGTTTTATTAATTCAAGTGCAGAAAGGCAAGGCAAAAATGGATTCCCAAATGGCATGGCTGCATGATGTCCACAGATAACTGACATGCACAACCGCTATCCTTTGCAGATTTTTTTTGGGGGAGGGGCAAATTAGAAAGATGTATAATTTGTTATTTCAACATTGATTTAAGACAATATTATACTTGACAACTCCACAGGGGTGGCTTCAAGTCAAGGTCAATGCTGAGATAAATTACATGTAGCCCTAGAAAACAGTGCTGAGGGATTAAACCATAGAACCACTAGCAAAGACTTACATGTAAATGTCACACTTAAAATAAAAAGGAAGTGAAGGACTGACTTTATTTTTTAATTCAACATCTAAATTTAAAGCCCAAAACTGTGTTTCTTGTTACATTTAGGGAACATTGTGGAGGGTAAGGGGTAAGTGGGTAAAAATTGGGTTCTGGTGAGACCATTTCCTTTTGAATTTCATAAATTTTTAAATTACAATGATATACATGTAGGGTTCTTGTTATTTGCTAAATTGGGTTAGATAAACAGAAGCAATTTTTTTCTGACCCAGTCACAACTACATGTATTTTTTAGGTGTAAATTTTTTTTACAGGTTTTACAGAGTTTCTATACACTCACATCAGTGGTATAGTGTACATGTATAATGGAGTCCTGGCATGACAGTTTAAGCAAGCACTAACAACTTCCCACCATTCCATTACTTTTTAAATATCTGACCTACCAGTACATGCACCCTGGCATATATTCAGGATATTCACCTTGGACTCTGCCAGCTTTCTTAATGACCCTGTCATCTATTTTTCTTTTTTTAATTTAGAGAGATGGCAATACATGTGGCTCAGTGATCATGTGGAACAGAGTGTGATCATGTGTGATAACACACACCCAGAGTAATCCAGTCAGCACAACCACATGATGCAACCAGACAAGTTCAGGGCACTCCATCTGTGCCGTACACGTGTTAAAGGGAGGAGCATGTCTTTATTACAGAACCTGTGCATGTACGTACATGTACATGTACCATACCATTAAGAAATTTTATGTACTGTATTATTACACTGAAACAAGTCAGTTTGCAACAATACCCTACAGCTGTTTAATGCCCATTTCTCCAGCTTTCTACTCTTTTTAAAACAAATCTGGTAAAGTTTCTCGTGAGTATTTCGCACCAGTGTGAAGTTATTTTCTATCTATTCCAAGTAGTTTTCATAATGTATAAAACCTACATGTAAGTGCATTTCATTAAGATAAATGACAACTAAAAGGTGGATTTGATTGAGGTACTGGTGGCATGACCTGTCCACACATGCATCAAAGCCCCACGTCTCATATAGATCGGATTATTAACTTTACTTGTTTGTCCATTGTCAGACTTGCATGTGTGAGATATCGGAAGATGATTAGAGTTATGAGGTTTTGCAGCTATGAGCTACATTACATGTATGACTTTCATGTACATGACACAGCCCCCCCATGAAGCATGCTTGCAACTTGCACACTGTTGTTCCCAAATGACCTCGGATGTGCTATACAGGTATTTTGGCCATCCGCTGTTGGAATATGGAAATGGCTTATTATGGGTCTCCAACCATATAGGTCATGCACATTTTTATGTTCATATCACAAAAAGAAAACCAGTGTTTGATATTCTGTATTTATCAGAGTCCATCAATAACACACTCTTTGAAGAAACACTCATTAATTCCTTACACAGACATTGCGCATGCATCCATGCATATTTGTTTTAATATATTTTCAGTTTTTTTATTAGTTCATCGCTGATATTAATCTAAATGAACACTATGTGGCAACTGATCTATCAAGCATTCTGCAATGTTTGATGCCAGCAGCTACACCTACATGTAGACTGGTTACATGTACATGTAGACTGGCCCATGAATGTTGCCTGTGTTCCTTGTACATGTACAAGTATGCCTCAGTGGTTACATATGCCAAGCAGGAGTGTCCTAGTAGCAGATGGGTTATCATCAATTAATTTGCTTTAATGGAGAGACTCAGGAGGAGGACAGAGTCACCGGGGCAGTCAAATTGTTTCCTTTCCTTTCCTTTTCATTACATGATTTGCTAGGGTGTAAAGTCTTAAATTACCTGGCAGGAACAAATTCCCTGTCTTTATTTAGTAGGGTGATCTCAGCACTTGCTCTAATTGCTCACTGATATTCAAATTACCCTGTTTATCATAAAAAGGGGCCAGACAAACCACTGATTCAAGCCTGTAGTACATGTAAGTCAACATGGGATTCAATAGGGATTGTTTTTCCAATCAGAGAAGGAATGATAGGCAATTTCCTGACTGGTCTGGTTTCCACACAAGAAACAATGTGTAAGATATGGGTTTTTTGTTGCACTAAATATGTAAATGTACATAGAATTCATTTGGAATCGACCTTATGTGTGCCAGTAATAGCAAAGTATTAAAGAATCTATGGTTTATATTTAAAAGTGGATTATTTATAACATATTATTTTATATTTCCACACAACATTCTTAATTCAAGAAACATTTGGTGGTAAATTCCCCCTCCCCCCAAAAAACCAGCTAAACCAAATTTAGTACTGTACATGTAGATGCAAAGAATGGTTTTGATGGAACTTGAAGGCACAGCTTTATTAAATCAAAAGTAACAGATCTATATGTACAGTCAATTATGAACAGAGGCAGGTTAAGACCTGGCAGAGAAAAGTACTGACATGGTTTCCTGGTAGCAACTTGGCAGATGGTCTACACTTAGGAAACCCAAAACTTCTCATTTTCAAAACTGCAGGAAATTTGCTCAGTCCCAAATGCATGCAATGCTTGTATGGCCGCACTTAACCACAGGGGGCTAGCATTTCAGCAAGCCTTGTCTTTCCATGAAAGCTATAGGAGTTCCCCCATCCCTGTACCAAGGGATAATTATCTGATTATGACATCTGTTGGTAGGCCTGACAATCTGCTCCACTTGTCACTCATTTTACATACTTGCTTTATGACATAAAGATATTTTTAATAACATGCACAATACACTAACAGCCTGGTCCCCACGCTGTCCTCTCTGGTAATTTTCAGATCCTAATTTTGGCCCATCTGGCCAAGAATTTGGTTGCTGGGCAGATGATGGTAGAGTACTTATAAACCATGAAAACACTTTTAGGATAGCCAGAGTTGCTAGACATTGTAGACAGCATAAGGAATCAGAGAGCAGCTGGACAGATACCACAGAGTGGATTAGTCTCCATCATCAGAGTGAGAATCAACTGCCAGACGGCATGTTTATTCAAGTAGATATGCATGTTGTACAAGAAATTTCCTTTCACGCAGGCATTTTGGCCATAGCCATGTAGCAAATTTTTTAACATGCATGTAATGGTAACTGATGTAATTTCCATTCAAATGATGTACACAAACAATGCATGGTTTGGATGCATGCTAAATGATCCATTCACAATAACAAACATATGCTTGGCATACTAACAAGCATCTTGAGTACATGTTATTCACATGAAAGTTTAACATGCAAGTATGCAGGGTATAATGAAATAAGGAATTACAAATTACATGTAATTCCCAAATGAGATACTTTCAACACATGTTACTTTTACCCATGTTTCATCCTGGCAAAATGTATAAATGTACATGTTGGGGGTGCAGTTTTATGATATGACGGAAATGAAGGCCCTCATTTGATGGACACATGGTCACAATATTCTGGATGAAAACAAAGTTCAAAATGACTTAAATTGCTTTTGCCTACCAAAAATAAAATGGGAAATACATGTATGCAACCCATTACATGTACATGTACGCCATGTTGCTTACAAAGCACAGTTTAGCAACCATCTAATTTGTGTTACAAGATACACGTATCTGTACATGTACTTTAAATGAACTGAATGCATTTTCTTACACTTGTAACTCACAACACAAACCTGAGAAACTGCTTAAAACATAATGGATCTACTGATGTCTGTTGATGATATATAAAGGAATTTGACAAAAAGAGAGGAACAAGGCTAAGGACAGGTGTTTGAGTGCAATGAATATTTCATCCACATGCAAACATGAAGTGTTTGGTTGCATAGCCATATGTTCCTGTTTTTCAAATGTTAGCTGGACTACAGTAGCATATGAATGA